TGAACTGCTGATCTAGCAGTAGCCTGCAGTGCTGCATTTAACCACTGCGCCACCTTGTTTATCAGGATGTTTATCAAATGAAGAAAGTGGAGGACAGAGTCCTAAAAATTGACGAAAAAAATGAGCAAAGAGATAAGAAAATTGTGGATACTGACAACAAATTGTGCGTGGTTGGAAATGGCAAGAGCGGAATATGGAAAAGGGAGATAGATGGACTGGAACTCTACCCCAGATTTCAAAGCATAGAAGAAGAAAAGAGAAAAATTGATGGAGGTAAGGAGAGAAATCTTGACAGAAGCACCAGTGATAACCAAAGACAAGCTGATGGAGGGCTTTGATGGAAGGAGCAGATGGAGGGCTTTGAGTTTTCATGAGATACGAAATGAACAACTTGCAAAGAGAAGTCCATACAAGACTTACTAAGAAAGCAATCAGAATACTAATGCTACAAATGGCAAAAGACATAAGACTGCACTATTACTGCAAAGATACAGGTTGATGTAATGAAAGTGTATAATACAAATTGTTAAATGTATTTACATTTAGAGTATTATGCATAAAATGAAGTGATAATAGTTATAGTCAAATAAATGATTAATAATGATAATAATGCGCGCATATGTATTGGTTTGTTAAGAGGAAATTCTATATAAATTGCAAATGGAGATTATGAAAGGAAGTTTAGAAATTAAACATAATCAATTTTGTTATTTAGAACATGTTATAAAGATGTAATGTTATTGGATGATTTTAGGAAGATCTAATGGAATGCCATTATATAATTTTACTTTAGATTTAAAATATTTCATATAAAAGGATGTAAAAGCAACTATAGTCAAATGAAGGTTGAGGTACAATAGTAGTAATATATCTAAATATATTTGATTTAAAAATATGTGATTTGATATGTATTGCAAGTGATGACTGGAAGGGATGCACAAAAATTTTGTAACCAACTGACACACTTTCTATATTTTTTAATGGAAGATACTTTTATGTTCTGTCCATTTGTGTTTGTTCAAAAAATTTAAAATTTTTTTTAAAAAAAGTATGAATCTGTGGACTCAGTAATGGAGATCGGGGATGCTGTACATTACCCTGTGGAGTTCTTGCACATTCTCAACCCACCAGGATTACCATCTCCTCATGCTGTTACACAATCTAACCCCTCCAAAACTGGAACACTGACATTAACATGAATCTCCATTAAAATACTTCACCAGCTAACCCTGGAATTGGGGCCCTGTGCAGGGTGCTGAGTCCCCGCAATGACCCAACCTTGGGCAGTGCAAAATCTCAGCAAAGATGGGGAAAGAGGCCACGGGGAAAGCAGCAGATGATGGATCACCTCTCTACGCCGAGACCATCTGCATACCTTCCAAAGCCGTGTGTGTGTGTGTGTGTGTGGAATGCCAGCTAGGAGCAAGGCCTACACCTCCCTCGCAATTGGAACTAGCTTTTAGATTTATGGCATCTGGGAAATTGCTGTTGGAGCCGTAAGGGAGTGCAAGGGCAGCTTTGACACACGACTGGAGGAGACCAAATCAAATGCCAACTAGCCGACCTGATGATTGGAGCCTCCCAGACCAACTTGGACAGCCAAACATGAGTGAAATGAACCCTCACTTTAGCTCAGGACCACCTACTTGGACCCTGGCCCAGCCCACGTTCTCCTTCCCTAGCAGAGACTCTGCAACACACTGGAGTGGAGATCTTTACTCCTTCCACACAGTGACAAGCGAGTCCACCCATTACCCTGCAGCTGGAGCAAAGCCAACACTAGCGCCCCTCCCCCCATCAACATGGGGAAATCAATCCAGCCAGCAGAAAGGGGCTTGGGCCACATCTCCCCCTAGCCAGCCACTGATGTTTAGGCTGCAGTCTGTGAATCAAGCAACACCGGGGTGGGCTTTCTTCCCAGGTCAGGGATGGGAGAAATACCAATGGATGCCTGCCCTCCCTCAGCAGATGACACCATTTCAGATAACTGGGCAGGGGCATCCCCAGGGATTGACACCCCCCTCCTCCGATTCCAGTCCCACCTGTGATGCTCCAACAGGCTCTTGCCCCACCTCAATCGCCGGGAACGGCCCAGCAAGGGGGCCTACTGCCCCAAGCAGCCGCCCAACCACCCATTCAATTTCAGCAACTAGCCCCGCCGGTTCCCACGCCCCCTCGATTTCGGGCAACGTTTGATAGGACCCCAAGAAAGCTAGCGTATTTCCTAAATCGAACGTGGGCATACATTGATCAATTTGGGGGTCAATAACCTTCTGATAGAGAATTAATCTCGGCAATAGCAGAAGGGATGAATGAGGGGGAAAGCTGCAGAGTGGATAGCGGAGCTCCACGACGAGGTGGCTCCTGAGTTAGAAGATGCAACCAGGTTCATCCAACTGATGCATACTCGATTTAGTGATGTGAGGCAGAACAGCAGATCCAGGAACTGCGACAGGCTGGCTGTCCCGTGAAGGAGTTAGTTTGGGAGTTCAAGAGAATGGCTGGAAAACTTCTGTTCCACACATTCAAAAATGCCTTAGATCCTGAACTGAGGAAAGCTTGCAGCGTAAGTGTGTGTGTGTGTATGTGTGTGTCCCAGAAAAAAACTGCTAGAAGGCCTTTGGGCTGCCAAACACAGATGCAGTGAGCTGAAAAGCCTCCCCCCGTCCTTCCCTCGGGGGGGACGACAATAAAATGCTACTGATGCGGTCAACCTGGCCACAGAGCGTCAGAGTGCCTGGCTCCAGCCCCAATCTNGGGCCTCTTCAGATCAAGCATTTATTTTAAAAAGCTTCTTCATTTTGTTAAGTTGTCTAGAATAATAATAAAGCAGTCTTTAAAAAAATAAGCCTAATAATTGGAACATTCTATAGGCATTTATAGTTGTTGACTTACCTCCTTGCAGCAAACAGCCTGATTAGCACAAGAAAAAAAAATCTGCCTCCCCGCAATTTGCCACGAGGCTCTCCCGACATCAGCTGTTACATGCTGCAGGGATTGCTATATCTTATTGAAGCCTCCGCGAGCCCCTTGCTGCAAAGAGGTAAACTGCTGGGAGGCAGAGGCCAAAGAGTTAGGGCCGGTGGGTGGGTAGGGCTACATTCAGTGTATAAGACGCACCCAAATTTTCACCCTCTTTTAAATTTACCTCTTCAAAATCTTGGTGCGTCTGGGGGGGAGATGCGTCTTATGCTCCGAAAAATATGGTAATCTAAACCAAGATATGGAAAAATGGAGAGGGAACATGAAATATGCTTACAATGAGAAACAATAATACTGAGATTTTAAGACAGAATCACAAAGTGGGGACATGTAAGGATGTATAACTATATAAATATAATAATGAGAATAGCTGGGAATTGTAACCAGGTCTACATCTCGGCCAAAATTAGGCGGGGGGTGGGTTTTAAAAGTATAATGACTATATATGTCTACCTTTTTGTTCTCTCTTTTTTTAGAAAAGGAGGAAGATATATGTTAAAATTAAATATGTATACTGAAAAGGAATTATAAATACCATCAACATAAAATGGAGCTTCCTCAGAACCTGAAATACACCAAGTAAATGAGATGAAGAGTGTGAAGTACAGGAGAGAGGTAAGGGAAGAAGAGAGGGATAGGAGAGAGGGCAGGGGGGAAGAGGAGGAGAGAAAGGAGGAGTGGAAAGGGGAGAGAGGAGAAGGAGAGATGAAGGGGAAGTAGAGAAGTGACAGAGGGAAGAAAGGATTTAGGGAGGGGGAGGAGAGAGGGAGAAGAAAGTGACAAATATGGTGTATGGAGAGCAGAAGAGCTAATAATTGTTTTTGGGAGTTGATGGTGAGATGAATTGATGTAAACATTTAATAATACAATAAGATGTTGGCTATGTAATAGTATACATGTGGTTATATGTTATGAAAATGAAAAAATAAAAACTTTATATATATAAAAAAAATTTGGAGGGAGGGCAGGTGATAAATTCAGTCAACAAAGGAGGTTTCACTGAGAATTTTTACTCCACAGAACTATATTTGCTTCCTTCCTTCACTGGTGATAGGAATACCTAAATAAGAACATCCCTACATTACTTGGTTTCTTCATAAGTTCCAGTCCTCCTTTTTTCAGCCACTTCATGGTTTAGAACAGGCCTGTCAAACTGGCAGCCCGTGGGCCAGTTATGTCACATGCATGCCATGCCCACCCCAGCTCTGCAAAGGCAAAAAACCTCCAGATACATCACAATCTGGCCCGTGACATGATCGAGTTTGACACCTTTGATTTAGAAGATGTGCTGCAATCAAATAAAAGCAGGATCCTCTATTGTCTAAGGGTTAATTTCTCTACATGGTGAGGAAGAACCTAACCCTGGGTACCACTTCTGACTTAGCTAGATGTGAGACTGGGTGGAGGCAGTCCCATCTAAAACAGGCCTTTAAGAGCTCAGTCATGGCTCATGGGAATAACTGGTGTTAATAAGTATGTCCATCCACCAAAATTTTGCTTAAGAAAATATTCTCATCATATTACCTTGTTAGCATGGAATGGAATGAATTTTTCCATTCTTCATTAGCATATTAGGGGACAGAAAAGAGCTGTATAAAAACTGGGAGAAGTATTTGTAGGTGCAAAATGTAGAGCAACACTGCATGCTGCCACATTTTAGCACTAGCACTTAGACTTATATACTCCATAGTGTTTTACAGCACTCTCTGAGTGGTTTACAATGTCAGCATATTGCCCCCAACAATCTGGGTCCTCATTTTACTGACCTCGGAAGATGGAAGGATGAATCAACCTTGAGCCAGTCAAACTCCTGGCTGTGGTCAGAGTTAGCCTGCAATACTGCATTCTAACCGCTGAGCCACCACATTTTAACTGACCTAAAGACTTGGCCTAAAGACTTTGTGTAACCTGCTAAGCATGGTCAGTTTTATTTTTAGTTAATTCTCTTGGGGCTTATTGGTGCTATACAAATGTAGTCCATTTGGTTTATTCATATGTAATGTGTAAGTCAAATTCAGAAAATGGGTTAAATCAGTGACCAGGTTAAAATTCCAAAAGCATCCACTGGGCTGCAAATGAGTATCATTTACTGATCCAAAAGGGGTTTCCCCCCCTTTTCAGATACATTGGTGGTGGACAACTTTAAATATATGTAGTCAACAGCCAGATACCACATATTGTGCCTTTTCTTTCCAAATTATAGAGCAGTGTTGCTCAACCCTGGCAATTTTAAGGTATCTGGACTTCAATTCCCAGAATCCCCCATAGGGCAAGCTGGCTGGGGGATTCTGGGGGTTGAAGTCCAGACATCTTAAAGTTGCCAGGGTTGAGAAATACTTGCATAGAACTTTGTAGGATTTAAGATTTCTGACAAAAGTATATAAAATGGGAGATGATCTACCTGAATGGGTCCTACTGACATGAGCAGGTTCTTCAGCTGAATGTCCGTGGTGGATGAAGAAAGCCCTTCCACTGACACCACACTGGGCTGAGGTTTGCATTCCACCACCCGCAGATTTGGCTTACTTGACATTAAGCGGCCTCGGCCCATCTGGCTCACGATCCCCCTGCCTCTCCCATGCAGAATACCCTGGTGAGAAAAAAAGTATTTGATTTCATGCTTCTGCTTACAGAATATGATAGATTAATACAAAAGTTATATATTCTCTTAGAAGGGTTGTAGGGCTAATTGCTAAAGTTCCACTAGTAAACACAGCTATTGGCCTGGCAGTCACATTTCTCTTAGATTCACTCTCATTTATATTATGAACTAGACAGCCCATGACCCACTGAGTCATCATTTCAGAGATATTTCCTTAGCTAAACAGAGAAATAGAATGATCACATGAGGGCAAAAAAGCAGTGGGAGCGGGAACAACTTCTGACTTCCTGCTGGCTTCCCCATTGAGTTTCCTTGTAGGAAGCTGGCAGGGAACATTGGAACTGATGTTGATGTGACCGTGGCTAACTGTGGCAGCACTCAAATGGCCACAACTTTGCCAAATTTCAATCTCACTGGAGTCATGGGTCCCAGATTTGGGGTGCTTTCTGTAAATTAGCCCTTTTGAGGTACGTTGATTTAAAAATTGTTGCCCTACAATGAACTGTTTCATCCAATTGAAGTTTACAATCAGACAAGACAGTTTCAATAGTACACAGATAGGAAACAGCACAGCAGCATAGCATTTCTGACTTATATACTGCCCCATAGCACTTTACAGCACTCTCTGGGTGGTTTACAATGTCAGCAATATTTGCATATTTCCTCCAGCAATTTGGGTCCTCATTTTACCAACCTTGGAAAGATGGAAGGCTGAGTCAACCTTGAGTCAGTCAGGATCAAACTCCAGGCTGTGGGTAGAGTTTGCCTGCAATACTGTACTTAGCCATTGTGCCACCAGGGCTCCAATGATTTTCAAAATCATAGGAAAACGCCAATGTAACAAAAAGTTCCATCCTTAGGAGAAAATACTCCCACAACACCAAGGTTTGCCAAAGCAACCTCCCTTTCCTTCATGAAAACTTTTATTTCCAACAGTGTCCTCAACTCAAGTTAACCCTTCCCACTTTACAGCTCTTCCATAAGACAAGTCTCAACAACTCTCATATATGTTATGGCAATAAAGAACTACAGATTGCAAAATGCAGCCCCCCCAAGCTTTTTAATAATACCACATGAAAATGCACAGTTGCAAAGATCTTACAAAAGGGTTTTAGGTCAACAGTCCCCAATACAGTTACTTCCAGTTAGAATACATTTCCCATCAATTCTGTTTGATACTTCTCAAGATGTTAAAAAATTGGAACCAAGCTTATCTGGGAGTATAAGATATGGAAATGCTGAGAACCATGTTACATATAGGAATGTTTCATTCATCCAAAGCTTTATCTGAAGTCAAAACAACTCACAAATCTATACCACTGAGACAAATTCTTTTTCTGCTACCTTACCTGCTAATGTAGGTAACAAATTCAGTGTCTCAATAACCCTGAAAATTTATTTCTTCAAGCAACTAATGAAGATATCAGTACAAACCAGAATCAGTACCTTTTTCATTTGATGTATCCCTGGGATATTTTTTAGTCCTTGAGGATACATAGACTGAATCTGTGATAGATGGTGCTGATGAGGCTGATACGGTTGCTGCACTGTCCCCTTTGTCAGTGTGACCTTCCGCATTGGCTGATGCCTCTGCTCTGATGGCTGCGAAAGCCGGTGAGGCGGTCCTTCCAAATGAGTAAAGTCAACATTCTCACCACCCTGTAGAAAAGTCAAAAACATTCTGTTCAAGATTTTTTTAAAAAAAAGACTACATATTTTTGGCAACAGCTACTATAGAACAGAACTTGGATATCAGATTCAGAAGCATTAAGACCATGCTTTATTCAGAAGAGAATATGCATGGCTTCCTAAAGTTGGGAGGGGGTTAGGAAGAGAAGGCACTTAGCAGACCTTTCTTCCTGTATAATTATTTCTTAGAGTTATAAGACACAAGTTGTAGTTTTCAACAGACATATATGTGAATCAAATGCTAGTATGACTTTCTGCAATTTCAAGCCCTGTAGTTCTGAGGCTCTCAACTCAAGAATTTTCAGTCAGTTTGACTACTTATGTAACAAAACACTGAGGACTTCTTTCTTTCCATGTCCTGCTTATGGCATGAAAATATGTCAGATCCGTGTATCTGCCATTCTTCGGTGAACGAAGGGTGTGTGTGGATTTGATGCATTTTGTTCTTTTTCCTTTCTGTCTTGCCTTGCCTGTTTATATAACCTTTCGCCCGATTTATAACCGTTGCCTGGTGCCTCAGAGGTCTGGAAAATCCTCACCTCTAGGAGGAAGCAAGGGGGGGAGGGGGAGCTATGTGGCTTGAAACTCCAGAATATGGCCCTGAGAATCCCTGTTTATCTGTTTCTCAGAGAGGCTGGTACAAAAATATCTTCACACCTGTTGATTGGTGGGAATCCACACTGGGAGGGGTTCTGAAGTCCCTTTATCATGGATTGTATAGCTTGAGGGTCCCAGAGCCTGCTTTGAATTTTGATTTGCTTTCACCTCCTTTCAAATAAAAAAGATTCCTTTTGAAATACCAGGTTTTCAAGAGTCTATGCTTTTTTGAAAAGGGGGGGGGGCGAGGCAGGTCCTTACAAAATATCTCATACTGGTGACTGCCAACATTTGAAGATATACACAAAATGGAAAATGTGTTTTGATTCAAGCATGGATTTTTATTTTATTTTTTATTTATAAAATTTATTGGCTACCCATCTTAACACAGGGTAAGATGGTCAAACAGATTATCATGCCCCCGTCGGAGTCTGGATCGGGGGGGGGGGGAGATGAGCTGGAACAACAGCTGACAGAGATCGAGAGGGCGGCTCTGTTGGTTTTGGAGGAAACTGGGGAAGGGCAGAGTCAGTCCGGGCAAGGCTTTTCAGGATTAGAAAGGCTTGCAGACAGGGTTTTTCTGGTTTTAATTTGAAGACGTTTCACTTCTCATCCAAGAAGCTTCTTCATCTCTGACTGGATGGTAGGGAATGGAAGGATTTATACTCCTTGCAAACAGCTGGTNGATCCCCCTGCCTCTCCCATGCAGAATACCCTGGTGAGAAAAAAAGTATTTGATTTCATGCTTCTGCTTACAGAATATGATAGATTAATACAAAAGTTATATATTCTCTTAGAAGGGTTGTAGGGCTAATTGCTAAAGTTCCACTAGTAAACACAGCTATTGGCCTGGCAGTCACATTTCTCTTAGATTCACTCTCATTTATATTATGAACTAGACAGCCCATGACCCACTGAGTCATCATTTCAGAGATATTTCCTTAGCTAAACAGAGAAATAGAATGATCACATGAGGGCAAAAAAGCAGTGGGAGCGGGAACAACTTCTGACTTCCTGCTGGCTTCCCCATTGAGTTTCCTTGTAGGAAGCTGGCAGGGAACATTGGAACTGATGTTGATGTGACCGTGGCTAACTGTGGCAGCACTCAAATGGCCACAACTTTGCCAAATTTCAATCTCACTGGAGTCATGGGTCCCAGATTTGGGGTGCTTTCTGTAAATTAGCCCTTTTGAGGTACGTTGATTTAAAAATTGTTGCCCTACAATGAACTGTTTCATCCAATTGAAGTTTACAATCAGACAAGACAGTTTCAATAGTACACAGATAGGAAACAGCACAGCAGCATAGCATTTCTGACTTATATACTGCCCCATAGCACTTTACAGCACTCTCTGGGTGGTTTACAATGTCAGCAATATTTGCATATTTCCTCCAGCAATTTGGGTCCTCATTTTACCAACCTTGGAAAGATGGAAGGCTGAGTCAACCTTGAGTCAGTCAGGATCAAACTCCAGGCTGTGGGTAGAGTTTGCCTGCAATACTGTACTTAGCCATTGTGCCACCAGGGCTCCAATGATTTTCAAAATCATAGGAAAACGCCAATGTAACAAAAAGTTCCATCCTTAGGAGAAAATACTCCCACAACACCAAGGTTTGCCAAAGCAACCTCCCTTTCCTTCATGAAAACTTTTATTTCCAACAGTGTCCTCAACTCAAGTTAACCCTTCCCACTTTACAGCTCTTCCATAAGACAAGTCTCAACAACTCTCATATATGTTATGGCAATAAAGAACTACAGATTGCAAAATGCAGCCCCCCCAAGCTTTTTAATAATACCACATGAAAATGCACAGTTGCAAAGATCTTACAAAAGGGTTTTAGGTCAACAGTCCCCAATACAGTTACTTCCAGTTAGAATACATTTCCCATCAATTCTGTTTGATACTTCTCAAGATGTTAAAAAATTGGAACCAAGCTTATCTGGGAGTATAAGATATGGAAATGCTGAGAACCATGTTACATATAGGAATGTTTCATTCATCCAAAGCTTTATCTGAAGTCAAAACAACTCACAAATCTATACCACTGAGACAAATTCTTTTTCTGCTACCTTACCTGCTAATGTAGGTAACAAATTCAGTGTCTCAATAACCCTGAAAATTTATTTCTTCAAGCAACTAATGAAGATATCAGTACAAACCAGAATCAGTACCTTTTTCATTTGATGTATCCCTGGGATATTTTTTAGTCCTTGAGNGCCCCAACTCCGATTCATAGGCAAATCTCTAACCCACAAGAGATCTGTTGCTTCTCTCAGGGTCTGATGCGATGCTGCCCTTCTTCGCCCCCACCTCCAGCGGGGGTTCTGATTCAAAAGACTCTTCAGAGATGGTTTGTCAGACAGGGTTCATGTGAGACTCTTAGGAGCACACATCTCCCACGTCTGTCCAGCTGGAGAACTTACTGTCGACTCCACGGCCGTTAGGAAATTGATTATCAGCTTTGGGCCGTTACCACCGGTGGAGGCAAAGGGACACTCAGGGACAATTGAACTCAATAGCCCAGACCATCTGGAGCCTGCAGTACCTGCAGCAGACACCAAACCCCTAGGGATCCAACAAGTTCCAAAAGACTACTGGGATTTGGTGGAGGTGTTCAGTGAGGAAGATTGCAACTATCTTCCCCCTCACAAGCCCGCAGATTGTGCAATGGAAATTAAACCTGGGGTATCCTACCAAAGCCGAAAATGTACTCCATGACTCCCAAGGAGATGGTTGAATTGAGGAAGTACATCGACACCAATTTGAAGCGGGGCTTTATTGAACCAGTGAAGTCGAAAGTAGCAGCCCTAGTGCTCTTCAGAGAGAAGAAATATGGTGGCGTTTGTCTCTGTATTGATCTGCGAGCCTTGAATGCGGTATGCATGAAAAAACCTATCCTCTCCCCCTCATGAAAGATATGTTGAATCACTTGGCTAAAGGCAAGGTGTTCACCAAGCTGGACTTGAGAGAAGTGTATTACTGCATACGAATCACAGAGGGAGATGAGTGGAAGACTGCTTTTAACTGCCCCCTTGGCAGCTTTCAATTCAAAGTAATGCCATTTGGGCTACAAGGAGAACCCACAGTCTTCATGCAGTACATAAATCAGGTGCTACATGAGCACCTATACCGCGGGGTACTCATTTATCTCGATGACATCTTGATCTTCTCTGAAACCCTGGAAGAACACGTGAAGCTGGTACGGCAAGTCCTGGAAAAACTTCTAGCCGCCAAGCTATACACAAAGTTGTCAAAGTGTGAGTTCCACAAAACCTCACTAGATTACCTGGGTTATCGCATCTCCAATGAAGGGCTAGAAATGAATCCAGGAAAAGTGAAAGCTGTGTTAGACTGGAAACCTCCAAGCACTCGCACACAACTACAGAGCTTTCTTGGATTTGCAAATTTCTACAGGCAGTTCATCCTGGCTTTCGCGGAGATTGCCCTCCCATTGACTGAACAATTAAAAACGGGGCCTTCCCCAACAAAGCCAAAAGCAAACCAACCCCTAACGTGGACAATGGACTGTCAAAAGGCCTACAACGAGTGGCCAGCCCTAGCCGACCATGGGAAGAGATCACAATATACTTCATTGTCGAGCTCCCAGACAGCAGTGGGAGTAGAGTAATCTGGACAGTTATTGATTTGTTTTCCAAGCAGGCGCATTTCATCGCTTACTCAGGGTTGCCGTCCACAAAGAAATTAGCGAAAATGTTTGCGAAACACATTTATCGTCTGCACGGGGTGGCCAAGAGGATCATTTCAGACCATGGAGTTCAGTTCACAGCCAAGTTCTGGAGAGAGGTCCTGAGATCCATTGGGTCCACACAAGGACTGAGCTCAGCGTTTCATCCCAGCACGAACAGCACAGCGGAGAGGGCCAATGTGACGATGGAACAATACATCTGGTGTTATGTGGACAATCAGCAAGACAACTGGTCGGACTTGCTACCCTTCGCCGAAGTGGTGTACAACAATGCAGTCCAGAGCAGCACTGGATTAACTCCTTTCCAGATTACCAGTGGCATGGAATTTGTTCCCATGCCTGAGCTGCCTAGAGAACCTCCCTCCTCCATGTCTCTNGGCAATCGTGGACACCGGCTGCACCCGATGCTTAATCAACATGTCGATTGTAGAGCAACTAGGCATACACACAAGACCCCTAGCCCATCCCATTCAGTTTGAGCAGGTAGATGGAACGCTAATTGAGGGAACCCCAGCCACACTAATTACCGAATTGGTAAAGTTACAGATAGGCTGCCACTAGATTCCTCAGATTCATCGTTGCTCCAAAGATGCAGAAATCAATTATCTTGGGGCTTGCATGGCTGGACACGTGGGCACCTACAATAAAGTGGGAGGATGG